TGCAATGTGAATTTGATTAAAGCCAACATAAGAGCTTTTATTCCTAGGTCGTTTGTTGAAACGTGCGGTGTAATTCGGTACATACCGGAGGAGCTCTCTGATGATGAAATTCTGGACAATATTAAGTCGGACATAAAGGTGACTTCAGTTTACAGAATAAAGAGACGTGACAGAGAGAACAGGACTAATTTTATACCTACCCAGACAATAAAATTGAGTTTTGAAGGCGATCAATTGCCTGAAAACATACAAATTTATTACACAAATTGTAAAGTTTTGCGTTATTTTCCAGCTGTTAAGCAATGTTTTAATTGCGGCAGACTGGGACACACGAGGTTGGGGTGTAGGTCGAAGACCCGTTGTATTCTTTGTGGGACCGAGGGAAAATGCAATGAAAACTGTGTGAACAAAAAATGTATACTGTGTGGGGATTCCAAACACGTTTCAATAAATAGCAATTTGTGTCCGAGGTGGCAAAAGGAGAGGGAGATTGTTGAGGTGATGACAATAAAAAAATTGACTAAGAAGGAGGTGTATGAAACGTATACGCAGCTTAACTCGTACAATCGGTTTCAGGCGTTAGCTGACTTTGAGGAGGTTTTTCCTCCAATTGGAGAAGAGGGTAGTAAAGTGGTGAACGTGGATGCAGAAATAAATAGGCGGTTGGTTAGGAAAAGCTACAGCTCAATACTTCAAGGTCCAATGCAGGTGGAGAAGAGGTTACCTTCAAGGCCACCAAAAGTTAAGAGTCCAATTATTCCAGTGTATCAACGACCCGAATGGACAAAGGTGTCTGAAATAGAAAAGATTATTAATTTACTATGCAACAGGTTTGACATTGGAAGAGATGATCCGCTGATTTCTGTAATAGCAGCCTTAAAGTATCAGGATGGACGATGTGAGGCTATTGAGGAAAGGATGGACAGGGTTCGTAATAACAATAATTATGGTCAAAATACTTCAATATAATTGCCAGAGTTTAAAAACAAATAAAAGTTACATTGATAGTTTCGTTGTTCATAATGATATAGACATAGTTGCCCTACAAGAAATTTTTTCGCACGATGACAGTAAAGAGGACCACAAACTTTTAAATTTTAGACTTTTGAAAAAAACCCGGCCTGATGGGTATGGGGGAGTGGCGATTGGTTTTAAGAAGGACATTAAATTTAGGAAAGTTAAATACCAGACATCGTATGACATAATAATTGCAAAAACATTAAATTTAAATTGTAATCTGACGATCTGCTGTGCCTATTTTCCGCCGAACATTGCGGTTGCAGTTTTTGAGTCGGAGGTTTCCAGTCTGTTGTTGTTTCTGAATGCGCATAATAATGTTCTTTTGTTGGGGGACTTCAACGCGAGGATGACTAGGTGGGGTGATACGGTTGACTCTGTTAGGGGAAAAACCTTGTGTGATCTGCTTGAGGGTTCGCGATTGAGATGCTTGAATGATGGTTCCAGGACTTATTTTACGACGTCGGTACTAATGGGAATAGGACACAGTAGTGTTCTTGATCTTGCTTTCACTGACATGACGGACAATGTAAAGTGGATGTGCAAGAGGATGTTTGTGGGTGGTAGTCATCACTGTCCTGTGATGGTTGACGTAGATAACATCACAAAGCAGCCCCGCTACTTTGTTTCGAAAAATCTGTTGTATAAAAATTTGGGGAAGGTTAGAGGTGTTAGTAGTATTGGGGATCTGACTGAGGCTTTGGATGTAGCTAGACAAAGTGCTACAATTGATTTAAACGAATTTAAGCACACTCCCAAGTCGTGGTGGAACGAGTCCTTGGCTAAAAAATACAGGCTACTGAATGCGGCGCGTTGTAAAGCTAGGAAAACAAGGAGATTTGAGGATATTGAAGTGGCGTGTCAATTGTTAGACGAATGGAAAGCAGCGGTCAAGGAGGCAAAAAAAGCTAACTTCCTTGAAGCAGTTGAGGAGTTAAGTGCATACCCAAATACGAAAAGGGCCTGGGTGTTCATAAATAATGTGAAAAATGTACAAAAGAATTCAGTATCGCAGTGGCTTTCTGAGAATAATGCTGCGTATTTAGACTTTCTGTTGAACCAGATAGTTAATAAACATTCCCCATCACTTTTTGAGATGCTAGACAATTTACCGTCGACGTCGGGTCGATCTGACTTGGTTTGTGATCATATCTTTTCGCGGCTTTCACTGCTAATAGGGAAAAAGAAGTCCTCAGCTGGAGGAGAGGACAAAATTACTTACAAGATGCTTAAGGCTCTCCCCGAGGGAACTGTTGACACTTTGATAGGTCTTTTGCAACAATTTTTTGATAGGAATCAAATTGATGACTCCTGGCGTAGGATTAAAATTGTACCGATACCGAAGGGTAATGGCAGTTTAGAGAACATTGAAAATTTCAGGCCGATTTCTCTAATTTCGGTCATGGTTAAAAGTATCAATATGGTTGTCAAGGAGCTGTTAACTGATTACTTGGAATCGAACCAACTCATCCCTTCTAGGTGTTTTGCATATAGAAGAAATAAATCGACTGCAATGTGTTTGAATGAGTGTATGCAGGTAATAGGTTGTGAGAAACAAAATAAAAAGAAAGTTTTTATATGTAGTATTGATCTAGCGAATGCTTACAATTGCGTGGACATTGTCCAGCTAGTGAAACTGCTGAATGAATATAAGGTGCATCCCAAAATCTATAGTTGGATTTACAATTTTCTCCACAGGAGAACTCTGATCCTTGGAAAAAGCGAGATTTGTGTGGAAAATGGTTTACCGCAGGGTAGCTGTCTTTCACCGGTTTTGTTTAACACATATACAGCTGAATTACATGGCTTAGAAGATGAAAATACTCACATCTTCCAATTTGCAGATGACTTTCTACTTGTGTCTACTAACAGCACGACAACAGGGGCTCTAAATAATTTGGGGAATAAGCTGGCAGCATTTCAGAGGTTATGTTCTGGGAGGTGTTTAAAAATAAACATAGCTAAAACGAAGTTTATGTACATGGCAAAGGGTTGTAAGAACTCTTTTTCCTTGAAGTTAGATAATGTTGACATTGACCGAGTAGGACAGTTGAAGTTTCTGGGGAGGATAGTTAGTGCTTCTGGAGCATTGAAAGATCATGTGGTGAAGATTAGAAAGGAAATTGTACCAGCTACGAACTTAATTAGACGACTCACCTCCATTAAGGCGGGGCTATTGCCAAAAGTTTCGTTGAATATTTACAGGGCCTTTGTCAGAGCAAAGGCTGAGTATGGCTGCACAACCTGGGCAAATGCTCCTTTTGGTTATAACAAAAGATTGGCGGTGATTGTTAATGATACGTTGCGACGGTGTATTGGGGTGCCTCCGAGTGCACCGATTCATTCGAGGTTTGTGCTTGCTGGTGAACTGCCTCCCTTGTTTAGAGCAAGGTGGTTGACGGCAAAAGAGCTAGTTAAACAATGGTTCCACAATTCGCATTTTAAGGATTTGCTTACAAGCAAGCCGCAAATAAATACCAGCTATAGTTTTATTTACAATAGATACAACACGATATTTGATAAGATAAACATAAATGTCAATTTCAGTAGGCATCCTTGCCTGACTGTGAAGAAATCAAGTATTGCCGGATCGAAGAAAAACATCGCGAGAGACCAACTGATTGCGATTTATAATGAGATGAAAAGCTCACTGATTGATGAGGGGTTTTATATTTATTCCACGGATGCCTCGTGCACCGGGGATGGGGTAGGATGTGGTGTGTATGATTTGCAAGGTAATGTTTCCTTTCTGTATAGGCTGGAAGAGAAATATGCGTCGATCACTGGAGAGCTTGTTGCAATCAGACAGGCGGTGGCGCTTATTGCCAAACAAAAAAGAACTAAAGCAGCAATTTTTTCAGATAGTTTATCTGCCCTCGAAGTCTTAGATAAGGATTCGACAGAGAATTTTTTGGTATCGGATATACATAAATTATTGTATGCACAGAGGGAAACCTTGCAGCAAGTTCGTTTTATATGGGTCCCAGGTCATGTGGGGATTGGGATAAACGAGAAGGCTGATCTGGCGGCTAAAACTGCCACCTCGGTTGGCCAAATCATTTCTATTGGTCTCACTCCATATGAAGCTCTTCTCAGGCTTCATGATGCTATTTGGAGTGAATGGAATTTTGAGTTTAAGGAATTGAATCAGTCAGTAGGGAAGAAATTTGCTGAGTATTCCCCTGAAATTGTGAGAAAACCATGGTTTAATGATAAAAGGCTTAGAATGAATAGCATGGAAATTAAGCTGATAAATAGGCTCATGCTAGGTCACACTTATTGCAACTACTATTTGAGTAAATTTAATCCTGGGCGCCTGGGTCACTGCTCTACGTGTAACTCCCCGGAAACTGAGGAACATGTAATTTTTGAATGCCAAGCACTTGAGGTGATGAGAAACAATTATGAAATTTTTAGCAAATTCAATGGCTTGTTGGAGCTATTGAAATCCAACAATCTTGATTATTATAATGAGCTTATAACCTTTCTTATTGAAGCAAATAGGATTAATGCGTTGTAACTAAAAGATGCGGGATTGAAAGACAAAAGAAAAATGTACATACAAAACTATAATAAGCGTTAGATACTAGGATATGCATATAAATTTCAATTTTCCAAAATGTTATGTAAATGTTGAATATACATAGTGGATTTTTCATCAGTACAAAGTACAAATATTTAAACACAAGTAGTGTTAATCTTAGGTTTTAGACCACATTACTCATGCATTAATTGTCTTGAGATGTGAATGTAGATAAATACTGTTGAAAAGTTGTTAAGAATATTGATGACTTTCTATGGGGAAAAATAAGCCCAAAGTGGGACAAAGGGATAGTAAAGTAATAAGTAAAGAATTGTGGGCTAAAATGGGTATATCTCAATACACCCACAGATATAGTCTAAGGTTTAGAGTTTAGAAGTTAGATTTAAGTCTGAGTTTTAAATCTCCTAACTAATTATTTAAAGTGATTAAAAAAAAAAAAAAAAAGACTAATATTAATTGTGTGAGGAAAAGTTTGGAAGGTTAGAAAAATTTTAAGTAACACCTCATCTTGAGGTATGGCAAAGCCACAGATTGACACACTGAAACCTGGAAGTTGCCAGCTCGCAAAAGAGCTATTGTGCTGTTGCTGTCAAGTAAAGCAGCTGCATATCTACACGTATACATCGGAGTCGAGTCGGTGCAAAAGAATGGCAAATTATCTTGAGGAAGCGCATTGAACAATAATCTGAAGGAAACCTGGCAGTTTAAGGGAAATTGTAATCCTTGCCATTTACGGATCTACGGATATAGATCTAACGATATCCAAAAAAAAAAAAAAAAAGTGCTATTGGAGAGCTGGAAAGTTGAGATTGGATGAATTCTTTCTTTTTCTTTCATAGAGACGCCTTGGTTTATTACTGTATATACTGTGTTTCATGGTAAAGCATTTGCAAATATTTTGGAGTGGCCTTTATAACATGACCGATGAAGTTAAGAAGTATTTCAATGGATTACTGCACAAGTGGGTATTGACCTTCATTCTTTTGGATATACGTATTTTTAATATAATATACCATATTTTCTTTCCATAGGGTCAATGGTTTATATGTAATACAAGTCACGGACAGAGATGGAGTGCCACTGCTGCGCGTGAGTCAGAATAAAAATTTAGATTTTGCACTAATGCCTTCTTTCATTCCCACATTTGCTACTGCCAGTGAGCAGGCCGGGAAATTGGGTTTAGGACGTAACAAAGTAATTATTTCCATGTATTCAAATTACCAGGTTGGTGCGAAAAATTGTAAAGTGCTTGAAAACATTAAGTGTCCTCACTTTTTATTACAGGTGGTACAAATGAATAAGCTACCCTTAATTTTAACCTTTGTTGGCGGCGAGCACTGCAACACGGGCCATATTTTAGCTTTGGAGCATCAATTAGATGTTCACTTGGGAGACATCAAATTAGCTGTAAACGAAGCGTAACATGAAAGACTTACAATGTAGGCTACAGTTAATCATATTGCCCAATATAATTAAATTATGTGCAAGTTACTTTGTTCTTCTTGATTGATTGGCGCTGTAACCGTCTAAGCGATTCTGGCCGAGTCCAACAAAGCCCAACAGGCGTTTCTCTTCTGCGCCAATTGGAAAGGCCAAGTGAAGCCAAGTCCTCTATCTGGTCTTTCCATCGCAGAGGAGGCCTACCCCCTAGCAGCATCGCGCATTGTATACTTTCAGAGCTTGAGCGTTTTGGTCCATGCGTATGACATGATAAAGCCAGCGGAGCGGCGCATTATAACTATAACGTTGTTAAATTCATACAGCTGATCGTTCCAACGTCGGCAGCAATCTCCATCGCCAACGGGAGCACTCCATAATCCCGACTTTGAAGATCCCGACTAGACATAATCCAGACAATTTTTAAAAATCCAGACAATACAAAATCCAGACAGGACATAAAACAGACATAACAAAATCCCGACCAAATAAAATACAGATAACACATTATTCAGACAAGACAAAATCCCGACAAGACACAATCCAGACAAAAAAAAATTACAATGCGTCCGGAAATGAAATTGATGACTTATGCCTAAATATAAACGGTTACCACTCCACATTTTTTCGCTTCTTTACTGCAAGGAGTCTAACCCTCTCGGCAACCACTTTACCACAAGGACGAAAGCTGCGTATTCCCGTCGATGGCAAACTAATTCCAACGGTGAATAACCGGAAAATTGTCAAATCTAGCTCTCGTTCCCGACGCATACAACCGAAATTGCCAACAAAGTACAGAGCCGTAGTCCTCAATTCGGCAGTACTTGGCCAAAGACAAAGAAACGGTGTTGCAAACATACAAAGCCGTCCGGTTCTAAATTATGCAGCGCCTGTGTGCACGCCGGGGACTATTGGTTCGCAGTGGACGAAACTAATGACATGCAACAATACAACACCCTGGACAACCAGAGGATGTCTTCTGATGTCGCCAGAACATCACATCCACAGTGAAGCTGAAATTCTCCCAGTAAGGTGCTACAGTTGTCAGCACTAGAACTTGCTTTAGCTGAAGGACCAGGTCAAGCACTACGCACAGCACCCCTGGGACTGGGACTATACAGACAGGTTATTAACGGTATTTGCAAACTCCAGTCAAGTGAATGCCATCATCAGTGCCAATCACCACCTGTGAACGACAGTGAGCTTCAACTGCCACGAGATACCCGCGTAACTCTGGCCCAACTCGCCTCCCAACATCGAAAATGAGTGTCCAGCGATTTTTTAATTATTTTAATATTTTGTCGGGATTTCTTGTCTGGATTGTGTCTTGTCGGGATTATGTATGGTCCGGATTTGGTCGTGTCTGGATTATGTCTGGTCGGGATTTGGTCGTGTCTGGATAATGTCTTTCGGGATTCTGTATTTCGGTATTTTGTATATCGGGATTTCATTATACACCCATCGCCAACGCACAAAGGCCCGTAAACCTCCCACAGAATCTTTCTCTCAAAACCTCTTAAGAGCCGCCTAATCAGATGATTTTATTGTCCATGCCTCTGCGGGCATGATGAGAGTGGTTTTCGAACGTCGTTCAAACTTGACGGAGACGGGTACGCTTCGACTGTTTCTCTGATGACAGGAAATACTTCGTTTTGTCATCATTCACCACTAGACCCACACGCTGTACTTCTCCATTTAATTCCGAGAACAGATGCAGCCCTTGCGTTACCGTGATTTCGATATCGTCGTCTTACCCCATATATCGCACACCGTCTTCAGAATAGTCACAACTCAAAATTTGGCATTTTGAAATTATCCGCTAAAAATGTACAGAGAGCTTTTATTAACCTTCTAGCAAAACGTGGAGCAAATTTTTGTTATAATTTGTTAAAAAAAACCTATGGTAAAGTCGCCCTTGCCCATATGATTAGCATGTGCTCCGAAATAGTTTTTCGCATTTTCTGACCGTATTATTTTGAGTTGTGACTCTTTTGAAGACGCTGTGCGATATGTAATACTCCTATATTGGCAGTAACAGCTAGTACGGTCCGAAAACATTACAGTACAGATATATAAATAAACACCCAATACGGTACTCACGTACACAATACATACACAAAAACGGCTTTAGACTCGGTTTGATTTCGGAATGCTTACACATTGAGAAGTTAGCTTACTGCCAATATAGAAGTA